ACAAAAAAGTACATTTATTGTTAGAAGCCTTATGTGAGTATCAATTTTTTTTAAAAAACCAAGTTTATCTTGCAAAGGAGAGAGACATCTAAGAATTTCTGTTGTTAGAGAGTAGAGCAGCAAACAGCTTTTAGTATACCAGCGTATTTGTTGTTGTACTTTGTTTGTTGGATAAAATTGAACTCAGTGTTGACGGTGTAGTACTGTTGTTACTGAACAAATTTATGGAAGCTGCTGCTAAAGCACAAACAATAAGAAGCGTTAGCTAAATGAATGAAAACCAAGTGAAACTTTTATTTTACATACATAAGCTTGGAAATAAACTTTGTGGGGTTGAAAATGGTACAGTTGCAGAAGGAACTTTTCGATTATCTGAATAATCTTCAAAACGTAGTTCCTACAATATGGAGAATAGTAAATCTAGTTGCTTATTCTCCTTTCTGCAGTTGATTAAACTAAACGTACTTCCACTGATTTTTTTTCATAAATTGTCATCGCTGTTATATTAATAGTTTTTGTTCGAATTTGTTGTTGGGTATTGTTTTTAGTTATTTTATCTATTGCCATGACAGGTTCAAATTTATGAACTGAACCATTTGCAGTTGTACTTGTGCCTAAACGAAACTTTGATGACGAATGAATATTAAGAAAAGTAAGCTAAAATTACCAAACATGTTTAATGGTGTTCCGGCCGTTGATACTGAAGCAGTGTTTTGATTACTACTACCAAATACAAATGCTCCATTGTTTGACGGTAAAAAACTATTCGTATTACTCGTTGCGGGTTGCTGTGATCCAAACACTAGACACATAAAAAAGTTGAGTAAGATTTAACACAAAAAAGAATAAATACATACGCATTACTGTTAAACATATGAAAAACAAAATTTTGTGACTAATCAAAACAGAAAAAATAGAACAAAAATCTAAAACACAAAACAGAAGATCATGTTAACATAAGAAGAACGTTGCACTACATGAGCCAGAAAAAAAGTCGTTAAGCTCAATGAGTAAATCGCATATTATCAGCGGGTCTCCACCCAAACGCATCAGCAGGATTTCCTAAGCAGAAGTCAAAAAAATGCTTTACTTCATAATTTTTTCTTACTCATCAAAAAGGCTTTCTTATCAGAGAAGGGGAAGGAGAACAAATTCTGTCTACAATAACAATCATTACTCAACATTATGCGGTTTTACTTTTGTGACAATTACTGTACATGAAAAGAGTACAGACAGGAAAGAAAAAATAGTCGTCTCGAAACATAGACTTCAGTGTATTAGACCATATCTTGAGCGCATGATTTTTAAAAATAAGTAAAGTCATCTACTTTTGTGTTTCAAAAGTCGTTCTATCATCTCAGTGAAAAATAGTTAGATTACATTAAACCCTTTTTTCTTGCAGGCAATGAGTCAACAGTTGATACAATAAACAATCGACATTTCTTCTGTTATCTCTCATAAAATGATAAACAAAATCCTATTAGTTGTAACGGATAGACATCATTCAGGAAAAAAGGAAGTTAGAGCTAAACTTTTTAATCGACAACTATCGCACCGATGCAGAAAACTCTTTGTTTATTTACTTTAACACAGTAGAATATTGTCAATATGAGAGAAACAGATCAGTTATCATGGCTAGTTCCAATAGAGCTATTTCTTTTGATGATTAAAATGATAATAAGTTCAGTTTATTGAATTTCTATGAATGTATGAATAATATCTGTATTGTAAATAATATATATGTATATATATAAAAACAAATAAACAAAAGTACAAGAAACAATTGTCTAGACTTCGGTACTAC